TTTCCTGTGTCAGCTTGGCACAAAATAGGGTTGTTACAGTGCAAGACGAATGTGGAGCTTCTGTAATAGTTGTGTGCCCTTTGTTGTGATCCCAGGCTGAAAGCTGTAGGGGTGTGCTTGCTTTGATTTGTAATGCCACAGGGACCTCAGTGGTCTTTGAGTTTTCTGTTGTACATTGTTGAGTAAAATAAGAATTTCCTTCCAAGGATTTTGGTAGAATATAGTATCTCTTAGAATTAAAGAAGTTATGAGTAGCAAATCTCAGGGGCAATAAGACCCTCTTGTCCTTCAGTTTTCACCACTGAATTTTTTCACTTGTGGTGTTCTCTGCGTTTGTCAGTCCCTCTTTATCTTTAACCTGGTAAGGTTGGAACATTTAGAAAACTTGCTTTTCTTGGTTGCCTTTTGGAGGTTTCCTTAGACATGATGCCAGTCCTTGAACGGGAGGTTGAAAAGCATTCCATGGGAATTAAGACGTAATTCCCAGGGATAGGTTTCAATATTTTAAGATCTTTGCAAAGGCAGTTAATTTTGCAAGCATGTGAAAACAAGATCACTTTATTGTGAGGTTTGCAGTCCACGTTGAGAACAAGCAAGTTTGGCACTGAGTTGAAATAAAAATGAGAAATAATGAAAACCTTGAGCGCAAATCAGTCGGTCCAGTTCTCTTTTTGGTATGATTTTTAGGTTATTTACAGTGTCTCATTTATTTGCTTCCTTTTCAGGAAGTGTTAGGATTATAGCTCCATAGTTTTCATCTCAGTACAGATCTGGCTTGTGGGTGTTGTGAAGGAAGAAGGTGGAAGGAAGTAATACAGAAATCAGAACCACATTGCTATCATGAATATCCTCAGCTCCATTCTCCAATTGCTACTTTGCTGGTTTGTTCTGCATTAAGATTTTCTGGATATCAACCAATCTAAAGTTGTACTGCCCCGAAAGAAGAGAGAAGATAAGTGGTCTAACAATGGTTTGATTTATTTTTAATAGCACAGAAATGAGACTATGCATGAACTCAGATTTCCTTTGGTGCATTAGGGGTCTGGAGTGAAATACACCATCAGCAGAAAAAAACAGTAGGAAAAGCTGGAATGGAAGGACTGAAATTCAAGAGAGAGGTGATGTTGTCATTTATCTGTCTGTAAATGACAAGCTCAGTAGGAACACGAAAAATTTTAATCTTCAGGATATTATGTATTAAAGCAATTTGATGCTGAAAATGGATTGGCAAGAATATTAATCATTATGCTTCAGATTTATTCCAGTCTTGGACTTTCAGAAACTAGGATGAGAGCTAATATAAGGGATATTTTATCCCAGATTTTCCCCATTATTTTTCTAACGTTTCACTCTACAGTCTGAGATTGGAGACTTGGCTAGAGTCCCTTAAGGTCCAATCCAGTCTGGCAGGTTACTGCTTGTAGTCGTTTAATATTCTCTGAAGTGCTCTTTATTCCCTGTCCTGTTAGTATGGATTTCCCTTTCCAACTGCTGTTCTGGTTTTCAGCACATGGAGTCTTTAACAGTTCCTTGGGAAAAAAAAAAAAAAGAACCAAACCAGAAACCCCCAAACCCTACAGAGGGGAATCTCTGAGCATTGACACAAAATGCCACATACAACACTGGTTCCATTTTCACCACATGCCTTTTCCAAAGCAAACAGCTCGCTTTCCTGTTAACTGGGAGGTGTGAGGCTGTGGAGCTTTGGAGCTGTGTGAATCCCCTTGCTGTCCCAGGAGCAATGCTGTTTCCTCTCTTCTTTCCTTCCTCTTTGCTTCCTGGGGCTTTATTTTCTGTCAGAGGTCCATCCTTTCTGAATGACTGTCAAGTGCTTGTGCAGGTGGCAGAAGTGAAAAGTAGTGGAGCCTGGAGTCATCACAAGCTCTGGTGGGGTCAGAGTTGGTTGATTTGAGCTTGCGGGAGGGTTTGAAAGATGCTGTGTAGTACACTTTGTTTTCTAAAACAAAAAGAACTTTTTTTCAGACCTCAGGAAAGTGTAATGAAACCCACAGATAATGTTCCAGTGGGTAAACTCTGACTAAAAATAAGAGAAGCGTAAGTTGCCTCTGTAATTCTCAGTCATATGCTCAAGCCTTCCTCCATAATGCTGGATTTCATTCTGCTGGTGACCACTGCAGTTCTCTTCAGCACTTGGTGGCATATTCCAGGATGAAAGTTAGAGATCAAAGAGAAGTTGGAATTAGAGGGGACATGAATCAAGATAATCCTTTCAGAAATTACTGACGGGATGAGCAATTGCAGAACAATTCTCTAGATTATTTGGATTTTGGAAAGGAAAAAAGCAGGAGTTGGATACTTGTGTGTTGTCGGTATTTGAAAGTGCAATAAGCAGAAATTACCCAGCCAGTACTCAAGAAATGTTTAATAAGATCTAAGTATGTACATTCTTAAATATTGTTGGGTCTTCTCATACAAATGATCTGTGAAAGCCAAAGAACATTTGCTTTAATCTTTAAAATGAAGTAGGGGAGAGCTTCACAGTGACTTTGCTTGGGCTCTTTTCTGTGGGCAAAGTGTGCAGATAGGAGCTTTGTATCCACTGTTCTGATGATTGTTGCCTAATACTGCAACTCTACTTTGAAAACTGGCAGGATGTGACCATCTCATAGTGGAGGCTCAGAGGCTGAGTAGTACCTGTGAGTGGCAGGGTAAGAGGCAGCTGTTTCCTCCCCTTCAGTGAAGAAATCTTTAGATGTAGCAGGAATCCTTCATCAGAGCAACAGAAATGCTGGACTTGCTTACAGTTTGCATGTGTGTTTTGTCTGATACCAAAGACATTTCAGTTGTAATGTATAAAATGCTGTTGCCTGAGCCCAATCCAGGGGATTTGGTGGACAGGGTTTAGTTTAGTGGCTAGTTTGAGTGGCTCAGCGTTACAGAGCACACGTTGGGTTCTGTGGAAGAGGCAATGGCCTCTTTGTCAGTGCAAGCTGTACTTTGAACTGCCTGTCCTGGGGGTGCAGACCCTCGATTACCCAGGTAGGCATCAGTTGACATACCACTGTCCTGGTAGGTAAGGGGGGTCTCCAAGGAGTCTGTTTTATATTGAGGCAGTGACAGCTATGATGACTCCTTTGCCCTTTTTTCAGGATTATTCATTCCAGCTTGTTCTAGATACCAAGAAGGAATTTGTTTAAACATAAATCTATCATTAGGATGTAAAATGAATATCATGTTACTGACTGCAAGGCAGAAAACCATCTGATGATGGGGAAGGAGAGTGTGGCATAACTGCAAAGGAGGAAGGGGAAGGGGGATTACTTCTGCAGATGGGACATCTTTGATTCATAAAGCACAATGTGTGTCTTTGTCACGAGCTGCTAGATCCATCTCTTCACACCTTTGGAACACAGGCAGGCAGATGAACTCCTTGATGCAACAGCTTCTTCAGCCATTCTCAGCAGTGTTTTGTTAGTCGTTCTGGATCTGCCTTTCCTCCCCTCCCCTCCCAGCACTGGGGATTTCAAGGTTCAGCTTGCATAACAGGTAATAGCAGGCATTTCCTTCTCCTGTGTCGGGATATCCTGGCGCCCTTCAGTCTCTCTCTGACTGTGTTTAAAACAGACTCCAGCACAGGAAAAAAAAAAAAAAAAAAAAAAAAAAGAGAAAAAAAGCTCCCAGTCTAAAATTAGCAGTCTTGATAGAAGAAAGGCACAGGGCTGTCCACTGGGCTGTTTGTCAATGAAATAACACATCTAAACAGGGCCAGAATGCATTTGCTCTCTGGGAAGGACAGGTTGAGTATTGGGGAGGCTGTGAGGGAGTGAGGGTAAAGCAGGCATCACATGGATGCCTGAGAACTGTCCAGAAGGTCTCTGGGGTTGCAGAGACCACACTGTACATGAAGAGACTGTAGGGAGGTCTTATGACAAGTCTATATACCTTCATCTTGGTAGCACTGACTGATGCTTGAGGGTGTTGCTGCACCTGGAAGCTGGATCAGATGCTCAGAGTTGCAGAACCTCTGCAGTCTCCTTCTCTTGTTTGGATATCAGGGTCATCGTCCTCAATGAGTGTTCATTGCTGTGAGGACCATATTTGTATGACCTAGCCTAGATTCTGGTCTTGCACCAGTGTAAACCTGAGTGGGTTTACACCATTCTAAATATTGGAGGTTTTAAAGTTGAAGTTAAAATTTAAAATAAAATGGTGTTACTTTACTAAATGACTATACTTTACTGTTGTTTGCATTAATAATAATAGTAATATACTTTTAATCTGATCTTGTACACAGCTTGAATGAATCCTCTAATGACAGGCTCATGCATGGATATTTTAATGGGTTGGACTGCTGGTGTAACAAATACTGAGTGACTTATTTTATGTCGTAGACAAAGGTATTATTGCAAAATGTTTACAGTTTGTTGCCACTGCTGTCAATAGGGAATTGTGATAAAACCATTTCCTCCTTTCCTCATTCATTCCTGTATACAGGCTGAGTCCATCAGAGTTACAGTAGGAATTTTATTTATAGCAGTCAATGGTATGAATTGCCTTCAGCTTGCTTTGCTAGATGGCAGACTTATCTGTCTATCAAAACACGGCTGATGGCCATTGAGAACATCCAGGTAGCTAAAAGCAAGCGACCGTGTTTCAGCAAGACTTCAAAAATCTGCTTGGCTGTTCTGCTCTGTTTTCAAACAGTTCCTTTGCTGTATTTTGTCCTGCTAAATTGTGGGACTACGTTGCATCCAGTTTATTTCTTTTATGTTTGCCTTCCTGGTTTCATAGGAAATAATAAAAGTTTGTTTTTCTTGGTTGGCAGAAGACTCATTCTGCCATATCCAAGATAAAAGCTTCTATTCATGTACTGCAGAATCTCATGGGGAGAGCTTCTAAGAGACAATGAGCTTACTTTTAGATTTAGACCTTTTTGCTATTCTTTGTCACTGGAAAGATTTACAAAGTAAGAAACTCTTTTCCACGTGGATTTCATAGAGACTAAGGATTTTTCCATCATTAAAAAGAAGTGGACTTACTGGCAAGTTGGAACAGGGCAGCTATGGCCTCCTCCCACCACTGGGTGTCCTGGGAAATGACAGGCAGCTCCATCAGGCCCAGGACGAAGATGAGCTGGCCAGCAGTCAGAGCCACGGTGGCGATGAGGTTACAAGCACGCATCATGTCAAACTGCACTAGGGAAACATAAGAAGTAAGCATAAAGTTACAATGATAGGAAATGAGGGCTCAGCAGGTATGTAAAATTTCTCAGTCCACAGAAAATGATTCTCAGACACCGTTCCTACTCCCAGCAGTCCCTTGCTCTAACTGCATTCCCTGTGATCTGATTAAGCAAAGGTTTTCTTTAGGGTGTGTGCTGAATCTTTCCTGCAGTGACCCAGCATCCCAACAGTATTGCTTCAGTGCAAAACAAGCTGGTATGAAACAAGCAGCTAATCCCCAAGGCTGAGCCACTGGAGGTGCTTGATTTTGCCCTGGGGAGATTCTGCCTATAATTAACAGCCAGAATTGTTTGGGGCAGGAGTGGTGTTTGTTTTCCCTCTGTGTGACACTAACTGACATGGAACTTCGGCTCACAAATGGGTTTTCAGGCCCTATAATAATAATCATCTCAAAGAGAAATCTATAATGCCCTAAATCTCTTTTTCATCTAGACCATTTGTATTGTCCTAGAAAACATCCTGTGGCTGTATCTTATTGGTTTAAGGGAGCTTTGTATAAAGGATTCTTAACTTCTTCTAATATTAATAATTTGGATGCACTGGACAGATCATTGTTTTTCTATCTGTTTAATGATGCAAATGATTACAATGATGATGTCAATGCTTGGCAGTTCTTAATGAGGTGTTATGGCATATTTTACATGTATAAGTGAAAAGTTACTTTTTTGTTGTTTTAAAAATATATTAGTTCATATATATATCAGAGGATGTTGTTGTGGGAGTCTACCATCAACCAGCCAGCCAGGACAACACCACCAAGAATTATTCTACAACGAATTAAGAGGTACCTCTAAATCAAGTACCCTTGTCCTTATGGGTGATTTTAACTTAGAATCATAGAATGTGATTGGGTTGGAAGGGACCTCTAAAGGTCACCTAGTCCAACCCCCACAGCAGTAAGCAGGGACATCTCCAACTAGGTCAGGCTGCTCAGAGCCTTGTGTTCTGATGTCAGAGCTTCTCTGACATCTACTGGGAATATCATACAGTGGACACAAATCGGTCCAGGAAACTTCTGAAGCACACTGAAGATAACTGCTTGGTGCAGGTACTGAGGGAGGTGACTAGGAAAGGTGCCCTCCTAGATTTGTGGTTTGTAAAGAGGCAGGGGCTTGTGGGCACAGTGGTGATTGGTGGCTGTCTTGGTCACGGAGACCACAAAGCAGTTGAGCTTCAGATTGTTGATGATAGGAGAAAAACTGCCAGCAAAATATTCAACACTGGATATGGGGAGAGCAGACTTCCAGCTGCTGAAGGAGCTAGTCAGTAAGGTCCCCTGTGAATCTGCTTCTGAAGGCACTAGGGTCCATGGATGCTGGTCACTTTTTAAGAGCCCCCCCTTAAGAGCACAGGAGCAGGCAATTCCAAAGTGTGGGGAGTCATGCAATGGGAGCAGAAGGCTTGGCTGAGCAAGGATCTTCTAGAACTTATGCAGAAAAGGATAGACATTGGAAAGAAGGACAGGCAGCATGGGAAGACTACATGGATGCTGTTTGCCACTGTAGGGAACAAATTCATGGGGCCAAAGCTTGGTTAGAGTTCAAGCCAGCCAGCACTGTGAAGGGCAACAAAAAGGACTCTTAAAAATATGTTAGCAGCACAAGGAGGCTCAGAGATCACTTTAGTCTGTTACTTGATGAGGTCAGTCACCTCACAAATAGGGACATAAACAAAGCAGAGATGTTTAATGCTTTCTTTGCCTCTGTCTTTAACACTGCTGGTGGGACCTGGGACCCACAGAGCCCTGTGCTAGATGACCATGACTCGGGGGATGGTCAGATCCCACCCAACCCTGAACTTGTTCAAGACTTGCTGCTCCAGCTGGATGTGCATAAATCTATGGGCCTGATGGGATTAGTTCCAGGGAACTGGAAGAGCTGGCCAATGTCATCACAGGAACTCTATCCATTTTTTTTCCAATGGTCTTGAGAATCTGCAGAGGTCTCAGTTGACTGGAAGCTGGCAAATGTCCCAGTTTGGAAGAAGGATGAGAAGGAAGACCCTGGTACTTACAGGCCTGTTAGTCTCACTTTAGTGCCTGGTAAAATTATAGAGAAAGTTATTCTGGGAGCTACTGAAAAACACTTGAGAAACAATGCAGTCATTGGTCATAGCCAACATGGGTTCATGAGAGGGAAGTCCTGCTTAACCAGCTTAATTTCCTTTTATGAGAAGGTCACCCATTGAGTTGACCAAGAAAAGCCAGTAGATGTGGTGGGTTTGGATTTTAGCAAAGTATTTAATATAGTGTCTCTCACTGTATCCTTCTGGATAAACTGTCCAGTCCACTATTAAAGAAGTTTATAATACACTGACTGGGTGAGCAATTGGCTGATGGGTTGGGCTCAAAGGGTTACAGGAAATGGGGTTATGTCAGGCTGGCAACCAGTCACCAGTGGGGTTCCCCAGGGCTCAGTTTTGGGGCCAGTGAGTCTGAGGCTAGCCAGCTGAGGGACATGATGAGTGCAGCCCTACCTCAAGTGCTGTGTGCAGCTTTGGGCACCTCAATGTAAGAAGGACCTCAAACTCCCAACAGTGAGCACAAGGAAGGATGATGAAGATGGTGAAAGGCCTCAGGGAAAGATTTAGGAGCAGCAGCTGAGGTCAGTTGGCTTGTTCAGCTTGGAGAAGGGTGAGGGGTGACCTCATCACAGTCTTCACCTTCCTCAAGGGGGGCAGCAGAAGGGGACATGCTGATCTCTTCTCTCTGGTGAACAGTGATAGGACGCAGGGGAATGGAACAAAGCTACATCAGGGGAAGTTCAGACTGGACATT